ATCACTCAGGATAAAGGCCCACTGCTACATCTGGAAGTGAGTTTTAAATTTATAATTAAATTTGCCCACTGTGACTAATTTCAGTCAAAACATGACTCATGAATTATTTAAGTGAATCATTTTCTGCTAACCTAGTGTTTGGACATTTATTTTGAGCATCCTCCAAAAATATCTCTATTTACAGGCAATCATCGCAGGAAAAGTGTCATCCACCTGGGCTTCATCAAAGGGCAGGGTGGACATTTTCTTTGAGGAGGATGAGCAGCTGGACAGAGTGATGGGCTTCTTGACAAGCCTGGTTGAAGCACAGACAACCAGATGTCACAATCAAGTGGCATTCATGATGGATGTGCTTCTGCCAGAGGTACGTTCTGAAAATGTTTATGTATCACATGAAAATATTTTGTAGCATTACTGTTGTCAGCAATGACGGCTGGTGAAAAATATTTTTGGTGGGGCTGTGCTATTTTTTTTTAAACAAACTTGTGCTTTCTGAGCTTTGTGCACAACTTCACGGTTTCCTGAATTAAGCACAGCTCTTTTATTTCCTGTCTTACATCATTGGACAAAGGGATTAATTCACGTGTGTCTGACTATTGGCACACTGCCTTGCGGACCAAGGTTGAAAAATACTGCATTAAATTGCACATAAAATAACATCACCATAAATGGTCCACATTCACATTACTGTTTGTGAAACTAACATACTGGAGAATTTCATCACAATAATATTAAATAAACAAGTATGTACCTGATCTTTTGCATACTGTTGGTGAAGCTCTGGATGACCCCTGTGATGGAGACAGAGTCAATGTTCCTCTTCTGCAGCTGGTTGAACAGCATGTCCACATGTGGCATGATCTTGTGACACAATGCCAGCAGAAAGCCCAAATCTTCTTCCTCCAGCATTCTCACAAAGCCTCCTGTCTTTCTCTCAGTGACTGGATCAAAGTCATCAGAGTCTCTGATCATCTGGAAAAATCTGAGGAGGTCATCCTTGTGCTCATACACTGTGTTGACATCTCTCTCTTGGACAAAATGTGCCGGTTCTGATCCACTTCTTCATTGTGTTTCTTCACTGCAAGCCTGTGTCCCTCGTCTCTAGCTGCATGGCAATGTTAGCTCTGCCTAGCATAGCTAGCTTCACCGTGTTGTCCATGTGCGCCCGGGATAACTCATGTTTCTTCACCTTCTCAGAAAAATGTTTCATGTCCGTAACTCCTGACTCAATCCATGCCTCATCTGTCACAGTCGTTTTGAATAACAAACTCGGAAAGCAAAATAACGCATTAGCGTGATTGCATCCAGCTAGCCAAGCCTTCCTGGTGTACCAATTTCGGGAGAAGCCTAGTGTGTACAGTTTACCTCTCTTCTTCTCCTACTGGCTTATCTTTACGTCGGGCTGATCTGGTCCAAGCTCTTTGACATTAAGTTTTGCCACCATAGTTCTCCTCTCGAACGGATACTGGAGAAGAGACCGAACTGAATTCAGTGGCTGCTGAGATCCAGTATCCATGCTGGTTGTATCACTGGCGTCCATCTGCGTCACGACCGTCACAACCAAAAAAGTGCTGGAGTAGTCGAGACTCTCCGAGTTCTACCGGACACCAACGAAAGCCTTTGGCGGTAGCTCTATCACCCATCATGCTTCTGAAACAACGTCGACGCTGATTGGATACATTCCCATTCCTACCGTTTGATTTTCTTGTCAGCAATTGGCGGACTGCTTTCGTGCTGTTTGGGCAATTGAAACACAGCCCACAGCCTTTCTGTCGGCTCCACATCTCGGCAGAGAGCTTCTGACCAATATATATATATATATATATATATATATATATATATATATATATATATATATATATATATATATATATATATATATACATATATATATATGACGAGCGGGGCCACTTATCAATTTAGAAACAACGCCACCTGATTATCAGGAACCAAGACGACTGAAAATAAGGCACATTAGTTCATTTTTGCAAATCAAGCTTGAGACGGAGTTCCATTCCACACAAACAGATTTTATTCAAAGAATAAAATGAGTTTAAAATAATCTAAAAACACCATGCACCTGCAGATCAACACTGCTTAAAACCAAATCAACTTAGGCTGAGGCTGACTAATGGGGCTGCCTAAGAGAGCCCAGAACTAAATACCAACCACAAGTAATTTCACCCCAATCACACGTGCATGCATTCGGGGGGTGAAGTGACTCTGGAGCACACGCACACCATCAAAAGGACCACCACCAGGGCTCGACCACCACTGTCAGCTCACAGCCTAAATGAAAAGAAAACAGAAAACAGTAAAAATCCAAATCCACACATACACACATACACACACACACACACACGACTGAGCAGGCAGGCTGTCAGGGAATGAGCGAGCATACAGCTCGCCTGCACCCAAGTCTATTAGCCTGCGCCTCAGCCATCCTTATGAGCTCCCGGGCAGACGACAACTGCCGGTAGGGCCCGCAGCCCCTCGTTAGAATACCCAACCCCACAGCTGGTGTACGCCCTCCGCTGGTATACGGTACAGAGGAGCGAGTGACATAGCCGCTCCCGATGGTCTCCGCTGATCCCGTCAACCAGTCCGAGCAGCGGGGTGGAGAGGTCTTGGAGCCGGACTGGGACGTAATTTTGGGGGGGGACGGGTGGGACATGTCCCCCCCCCCACTTTTTCAAAAGGCAGTTTTGGTCCCCTGCACTTTTTTCCGTCCAAAAACAATGTTACGCTCCATTAAATGGATTTGGTTGAGCACTAGGACCGAAACGGAAACCGGTTTACTATTAGACCCGCCCAAAAGCTAATCTATTGGCTCTGCTGATACTTGCTAACGTATTATTGGCTGTTGCTGCTGTCACTCAAGTTGTAAACAGTCAGAACGTGCTCACGTTGTTTTGCTAGTTTGGAGCCGCTAGGGAACACCGGTACTGAGTCACATCGTCAACTAGACGCTGTGTAATATCAGAGCTCAGCTCAGCTTCCATTACATAACATTTGAATAAGTGTTCATTTGTGAGTCTTTGGTAGTTAGGCACAGTCAGGAGGCAGCATGTCAAGAAAACGAAAAGTGGATATAAGAGACTTCTTTGAAAGTCAAAACGTAAGTTGGAACATGTGACACCCCTGCATTAAGCTCAGACTCACCTCCTCCTTCACACACATACTCAAAACTAACTTTTACAAACTCATCTCCTCCACATAACTGACTCCTCAGACACAATTTATTCGTATTATTATAATTATTATTTTTTTATTATTACTATTATCATCATAATTATTATTACTAGTAGTAGTAGTAGTAGAAGTGTAACTTCAAAACTTTTATCATTTAACTTTATTGTAAACTTATCTATTGCAATGTATATGTTCACATTAAAAAGCTCTGAAAAATGAACAGTATCATCATCGTCAACAGATTTTTTTAAGCTTAATGTCAAAGATGTACACTTTTCATTAGATTTATCTTATTTTTTCCATTTATTTTTTGTGTGTTGAAATGCAACAACTGTTTAAACACTTTTAAGGGAAAAAAACATTTAATATGTTTTTATACACTCAAATGTTAGGGTGATGATCATGTGTAAAACATTAGTTCAGCATGTCCTCTAACACAGCAAATGAACAAACGGCCAGATCTCAGGAGGACCGTTTATGTATAAATAATTTTTATACTTTTGACTAGGCCTGGGAAAGTAACACATTTTGCTGGACGATATTTTGTCCAACAAATTGTTGATGATAAACGATATTGTCAACATTATCTAGACCAAAATAACCACTAATATAATGTTAATATATCATAATAATGCAAGTACACCCTTTAAAATGCAACAAAGAAACCTTCATTTAACATTGAAATGTCCAGAACCAGAACTTCTAAATGAATAAAAATAACAAACAAAAATTAATTAAAAAAGGAATCTCACTCCCTGTTAGAAAATGTTGCACCAAAAACAATAAAAAAAGACCCAAAACAATAAATACAATGGCCTATCCATTGTAAACAGCCAAAACTGCACTTCAATAATGATAATAAATAAAAATAATAATAGAGTTGTACATTTTTTAACTTTGATATATATATATATATATATATATATATTTTTTTTTTTTTTTTTTTTTTTTGAGGATGGAAAAATTATTGAGATGGGCGCGTGACGTGTCAAGGGGTCTTTACATAACACCCCCCACCCCAAATCCGCACAAGCCTGCTGTGTCCCCCCCACTTCTGAAATCAAAATTTCGTCCCTGGAGCCGGATGATGGTCCAGCACCGGGTCAACAACCGGTAACTGAGATCTCACGAAACTGTGCAGAAAAGCAGCAGAACAGCAGAACAACAGAGTCTCCTGTGGAGACACACCCCTTCCTGGATCTGGAAGACACATTAATTAGTCTTATCCTAAAGCCACAGCTAAGTGGAGAGGAGCGCAGACGTACATACCACTTCTTTGAAGCACAGAGGATAAAAGAAGCCTTCCGTTACTCTGGGAGGACCACATACAACAATTCCTGTGGCAGGAGCAACCAATAAACACCAGACTCCATGCAACTACTGCAGCGTTTTTAAATAGTACTCACAGTCCGACACGCCGGAGTCCCGTACACAACAGCTCTTCACACATGAAGCAGAAGTTAAGCCAAAGTAAAAGATCGCTGTAGCGCCACCTCAGGCCCTATTTATATGAGCGCCTTCCCTCAATGATAGGTCGTCCAATTACTCGGTGGCAGGTGACTCATCCCACTATATATATATATATATATATATATATATATATATATATATATATATATATATACATGATTTGTTTTTGTTACAAAACACACAATTAACTTAGAATATGTGATTATTGTTCATTTTATTTTTTTATTTTTTTAAATAAAAATTAAAAACACTTGGGAAAACTGGGAGGGCGGCGCCCTATCACCCTCTATGGCCAGCCGCCACTGGTTGTCAGTCTATAACTCATGGTTAATATCTTGTTACCTGCAACATGACAGACTAATGTCTACATGAAAGATGTCTTTTGTTCACCTCATTATTCAGGCAACCATCCATGCGCTTTCAGCTGTCCATGAATGTTGACGGACAAAGCCACAGAAATGTACGGCAGTGGGCTGCAGTATGACTGGAGGTATTCTACAAACACAAGAACAGTGCTAATGCCTATATGTATTGTTTTCACATTGTTTATGACAGCCTCTAGGTGTGAATGCCATTTTTACTAATTGCTATTTACCTCTGTCTCATTAGTGAGAGGCAGCTGATGTCCTATGCCATGGAACTGCTCATATACACGGAGAAACTCAGAAAAGCTCTGGACTCATCTGAATTTTTGAAGAGGCTGTAGTATTGTGTTGACATTTTTTTGGAAGGTATTTGTAAGGCCAATAAAAGTTGCTGCTGGTTGTTTCATTTGTCTGAACTTTTTTTCTAAAGCAAAACTTTTCTGCTTTTGTGTTTACAGCATATTTTTTAAAGATTAGTGAATGGTCAATATCAGTTTACTAGTCTTGTGAATTGTATACTTAATTCAAAATATTTTAGTAATTTCTAAATCAATACATTTTGTGTCAAAGGGCCAGCAATCATTCCTGTTAACAGAATATATGAAATACATAAATACACACGTAAATATGCCTAAAAATTACACATCAGCAGCTTTTCACTGTAAAGAAGCAATAAAAAATCATAAATATTAACATAAATATTAACTACTCACTCGTATTGACTTAGACCCACTGTTAGTGCCTGTAATAACAAATGATTGAAAGTTAAATGTTGCTGTAGGAGGCGTGCTCCCAAAAATGGAGGCTAGTGGGCTTAAGGGGTTAATTAAAACGATTACCACTAATTACTTTTTCTGATATTTTATTTTATTGCATTTAAAATAAACACTTGCACATACATTACTCACCTGCTAACTTAAGTAAGCATAGGTATGTTGAGCCTATTGTCCGGCAACTGATTATTTGTTGGTGGTGTCTGTGTTTTATAATCCCACATGGGATGGCCAAAAAGTGTGTATGCAAGAAAAAAATATCCATACATTCATATTTAAACCTGGAGTCCTGACTGTTTAATTACATTGTTACTATTTCTGTATAAACGTATTCTTTCAATTGTATTGTTCGCATTAAAAGGCGTTTGATATGAATCAAACCCCAATCTCCTCTGCTGGAGCCTGAGGCGGGGTGCTGCACCCTGGATCTGACCCAGGTTTCAGCTCCCCTGCCCCGCTGGGAGGGTTTGAAACACCGCCATCACCTGCTGGAGCCTGTGGCGGACTGCTGCGGACCGGATCCGACCCAGGTTTAAGCTCTCCCCGCCCGCTGGGAGGGCTGCCGTTATTGAGATATTTCCCTTTTCTGACCACCAGGGGAGCTCGGGGGAGCTCAACAGGCACACAGGGGCGTGTATTGGAGGGGCGTGGTTTGTCTGGGCTGCGTCTGCAGCTAGGTATTATTGTGTTTTTCTGGTTACGTCATTTCCGGTAGACGCCAGCTGATGTCTGCAGCCAGATGCTTGTGCCCTTTCTTGGCATTGGGGTGTATGGTGCATGTACTATTTAAATAACTCTAACTTGCTCAATTTTCAACTGCTGTTCAAAATGTTTGATTTGTTATAAACGCCAGAGATGTGTCTGTGAAATAGGATGGGTTTGGCCCAGAAAATCCTGTTATTTCACTACACAAAGCATTTAATCTTTCATAGATAACACCTTTAATGGTAAGCTTACAATTAAAAATACATAGCTTATTATTATATTCTATCTGTCTATATTATATATATATATATATATATATATATATATATATATATATATATATATATATATATATATATATATATATATATATATTAGAGCCCTGCACGGGCCTAAAATCTGAGCCCGTGTCCGGCTGGGGTGGAGCCCCAGCCCGACCCAGTCCAAAAAGGTTTTCAGGATTCTCTGGCCCGACCCGAGCCCAACTTTTTTTTTAACCTTTCATAATGTTTTAGCGTGATAGAATGCTCATCATTCTAATTATCTGTGAGAAGTGTTCTGCAGTAATAATAAATAAATAAATAAATGAATAAATAAATTAAAGAAAAACAGCGTCAATGCAGCTTTTTTTCTAACAGAGCGTATTTTTTGAGCGGCAGATGAAATTTACGAACACTATATTAATTGGATGCGTTTGTTAATGTAATCTGCTCAGAAAAAGCGCTCTTGTGCAATTAGAAAAAAAAGGCAGCATTCTAATTTTCTAACTGCAGAGCGCATTTTCAGAGCGACAGATTAAATAAACGCCCCCAGTTAATATAGCGTTTGTAAATTTAATCTGCCGCTCTGAAAATGCGCTCTCCAGTTAGAAAAAACCCAGCAATGAATGCTGTATTTTTTTAAACTGCAGAACGAATTTATTCACAGAAAAATAGAATGCTGCCGTTTTCATGAGAATAAACGAATGGCTTCTGACATCAAAGTGGACATAAAATGGCATATTAGAATAGGGGCACATGTTTCAATCAGCAGTTTGAGAATTCGTTTATATCGGCGCATTTATGAGCTAACGGGTACTGGTGCGTGAGAAGCAGGCAGGTGCTGCTGCGTTTAAGTGTTTCAGTTTTTTTTAATGAATTTGATTAAAAATAAAGGCGCCCGGCCCGTGTCCGAGGTAATTACACAGTCGTTGGCCCGAAGCCTGACCCGAGGGCCTAGGGCTTCAGCGCAGGGCTCTAATATGTATATATATATATATATATATATATATATATATATATATATATATATATATATATATATATAGTGACAGTGGATCACTGCCACACCTAAATACTGGACAGATCTACAGATCTTACACTTATAATTGGAATGGGACACATTCATGAGGTATTGAAGGTGTTTATTTGTATATTGATTAGCAGGTGACCCGGTAAGATGGGAAGTATGGTATTTATTGATGGGATGAACTGAACAAGCAAAGGAGCTGTGGAACAAACATTTGTATTGTGGGCGTGTGCTTACCTTTCCTGTTTCCTGCCGCAGGTGAGAGCAAAATAGTCCTCGAGGGCGTGTGGATCTTTTATAGGTTCCAGAGGGATATACCAAGAGGAGGACTGGAAGAGTGATTGGGTTATTTTAATATGGTGAGAGGTATTGATGTATGTTAAGCACTGCTTATTTATAGAAATGAATGTGGAAAGTAGATATTTTAAAGTAACTGTGATTGTGTATATATTTATTAGCGTTTACATTTAGTAATGAGGTTTTAGGTGATGGTTTATCCCAATTAGGGAGATGTATAAAAGCTGATGTTTTCACTGAGAAGAGGTGAGGTGTGTGGGGGATGTAGAAGTCTGCGCAGCAAAAAATAAAGAAAAGAACACCATTCTCCTGTCTGGTCTGTGATGTTACTCTGCTAAATGGACTGCTTCTAAGGACCGGTCGGCCAAGATATATATATCTATCTCTCTATCTCTCTCTCTCTATATATATATATATATATATAGAGAGAGAGAGAGAGAGAGAGAGAGAGAGAGAGAGAGATGTAGATAGATGTATACATATATATATATACACACACATATCTATATATAAACACACACACACACACACACACATATATATATATATATATTTTTTTTCCTGGTTTGTGAAGTAAGATTTGTGTAGAGATGAGATTTCAAAGTTCTTTTGAGGTAAAGCCACATAAACAGAACACAGATACAAAATGTGCATCCCAACAAATAAGACAACCAACACCCAAATCCCATCTGTCAGCCAGAACTGGCCCACCAGCAATGTTCTTTTTTCTCTTGGAACTCTGGAGGCTCGGGGGAGTTCTTAAAGCTATGGTATTATCCAGACGGTTTGGACGTAACCTTAGGGAAAGCGTTATGTTCTTTTGGGGCCGGCTTCCCTTACTTCCGCTTGTCGTTATGTTGTTGAGGGTGGTTACTGTTTGGTTGAGTCTGCTCCCCCTTTGTTTCTGGTAAGGCCTCATATTTGGATTCTCTGGGTGAATCCCCAGTATTCGCACAGATAAGTTCATGTTAAGGCCAATGTTACGTTTTACCTTCTTCAGGGAGGCAAGAAGGAACTTGTGTAAAGAAAAACAAATTTATTAAAACATTAGAGGATAACACAAAACCGAGGGCTGGAAATCCTAACAGCAATACACTAACACAGCCCATAAAACTCAGAGAGTCAAATGTTCGTATAAAATAAAGCAGGAGACTAACCCCGGGTTTCCACGGGAGCCGTCAGCAGCATGTTACTGCAGCAGCACGTCTTGCTCGCGTAAGCTGCTGCTTGGCCCTTCCCACGAGACGCGAAGCAGCAGGAGAGCAGCTGTCACCGACCGAGCTCAAAGTCACACGAGTGACTTCGTCAGTAAACACAACAACAAGCAGGAGAAAATTACAACATGGTTTGTGTTTTTTCTGTCCGTTTTATAATCGCAATACGGACCTGAAAAACAAAGGAGACCGCTAGCTAGGTGATAACTTCTCACGGGGCCGCACAGTTAGTAACTTTTTTAAAAGTAAAGCAACCGGAAAGCAGTACGTTCTTTATTCTGAAAATCTCGGGAGCTTCTCTCCATTTCCCCGTCCAATTTCCTGTCTTTCCTTCCCCAAAAATGTCGAACTTGACCCGTTTCAGAGGCGTCGCGCGTAAAAAATAGAACCGGCGCGTAAAGGCCGCGACATGCTGCTCCTGAGACGCGGCCGACTCGCGCTGCTGACGGCTCAAGTGGAAAAGGTTCTGTTGACCACAGCGGTTCCTATCAGCAGCTATGACGTGCTGCTGCAGTAACGTGCTGCTGACGGCTCCCGTGGAAAGCCGGGGTAAGGCTCAGAACAGCACCAAAAGAAAACCATTCAGACCCAAGTGTCCAGCAGGATGGTACAAAAGAAAGAAAGATGTGAGATGGATTAACTAAAAGACTCAGGGTTATTTCCAAAACCTAAAGAAGCATTCACCTTCTACATAATAATTCAGCAACATAACCACAAAAGACTCTCAAACTCTAACAGTGGCCTCTGTAGTTCTTTTACCAAGAGTAATTACTAAACCCAAAGAGAGACTTAATAAAAGCTGAGGAATTATTTTTTCAAGATGTTTAAACTTCTAAAACCCTGAAACCAGCCCAAAGGGAGTCTACTTGGTTACAAGCAGCTCCCAGAATGAAAGTTCCTCCAGCCTTTTATCCTTTCCAGATCCAGAGAAAACGATTAGTCCAATTGCTTCCACCTGAAGAACTGTGGAGGGATCCACTAGTGATGAGGCTGCCGGTGCTCATTGTGGTTTCCATGGTTACTGGACAACAGCATGGAGGCGGCCATCTTGTATCTGGATCTGGTGTTGTCACTCCAAAAGAAAACAAAACAATGGGAAGAAAACTACCAAAACAGGGGAAAAAATTCTGACTAAACAGTAATAATAATACGGCCAACCATTGAAAAACCCAGGTGTCGTAACAGCCGAGTGTTAAAGGGCCATATTACTCAGAACATTTCTGGAATGTCATTTTTGTCTTAACGAGTCTTCTTCCATTTTGTGTTGTCGTTTATCTCCCGTAGGGACGCTTTTTGGTTCTCGACTGGAAAAGGGTGGCTTGCCAACTCCGGGTCGGGAGAGAGGTCCAACCTGAAGTGGAGGAGTTTAAGTATCTTAGGGTCTTGTTCACGAGTGAGGGTAGGAGGGATCGGGAGATCGACAGACGGATTGGTTCAGCATCTGCAGTGATGCGGACAATGAGCCGATCTGTCGTGGTGAAGAGGGAGCTGAGCCAGAAAGCCAGGCTCTTGATTTACCGGTCGATCTACGTCCCAATCCTCACCTATGGTCATGAGCTTTGGGTAATGACCGAAAGAACGAGATCGCGGATACAAGCCGCCGAAATAAGTTTCCTCCGTAGGGTGGCCGGGCTCAGCCTTAGAGATAGGGTGAGGAGCTCGGACATTCGGGAGGGAATCGGGGTAGAACCGCTGCTCCTCCGGCTCAAAAGGAGTCAGTTGAGGTGGTTTGGGCATCTGGTCAGGATGCCTTCTGGACGCTTCCCTGGGGAGGTGTTTCGGGCATGTCCTGCCAGCAGGAGGCCCCCGGGTCGACCCAGGACACGTTGGAGAGTTTACATCTCCAATCTGGTCCGGGAACGCCTTGGGGTCCTGCCGGAGGTGGCGGGGGAGAGGACAGTCTGGAGCTCCCTAGTTGGGATGCTGCCCCCGCGACCCGGACCCGGATAAGTGGAGGAAGACGACGACGACGAGGGACGCTTTTTGTTGATAAAATGTTTGTTTTGTCAAATGTGATTTGGTGTACTGCTCCCCCCTTTTTTTTTTTTTTGCACTCACGTACCTGTGTTAGCCCTCCCAGGATCCCAGACCTGGTTGAGGTTGTAACAGAAGAACTTGTTTTATGCATTGTGTGTAAATAAACTCAAGTTTGGAGGAAGACATTGTCTCAGCCCATTTTTTGATCTAGCGTGATCACTCTCCGTACCTAAAATAATAACAGTCGTGGGGCTCTAGGTTCACACTTTTACCAAATTAATATGTATTCAATTTGCTTTCTTTCGCTGAATTTCTACTTTGTTCTTGATGGTCGCACGTGTAGCATCATGAATGGCCTCATCTTGTGGGGCAAAGTTCACACTTTCCAGCTGGGTCACAGCTGGGTCGAGCTGTAACTTCCATCCACAGATTAAACCACCAGGAGCCGAATAGTCTACAATAACACCGTCTTCAATCTGACTGTTTATCTGTTTGCTGTTCCATCACGAGATGAAGGACCTTCAACTCTTAATCAAATAATTTAAAAAACTCTTTTATTATAAGGTTTACTATAATCATCATTAATGATCATCATGGTTCATTATAAATGTATTTTTAACTAATGAAATGACTTATTATTCTTTGGTTAATAATAATAATTATTTATGATAATCAGTAATGTGTGTTCAGTAACCAGAAGGTCTTTTGCACGTGTTTACACCTCATGCAGGACTCACTTCAAGGTAACTGCCTCACATGTCTTCCATAGTCATGCTTCCTGTCTCTGAGAGGGCGTGTTCTGAGGTTTTGTTAAAACCAAAGCACCACAGCTTAAGTTCAGTTCTTGAACCAAGCTGATACTTCTTCGTGGCAACGAGAGTATCCCAGAGGAGAAGGTCGGCCGCCTGACTCCTCACTAAGCGTTCTGTCACGCCGATAGAATAGCTCTGAATAAACGCACCTATAACCAGCTGACACTACGAGATTCCTTAAGAATCTGCCCGGATGCAAAGCCACATCTACCTGTGCACCTCACGGCAACTCTAGGACCAGAGAAAGTCGGTATCCTTGGTCATCTGCCGGACCTGAGTACCCCCGAGGCTGACAACATCCTCCAGACCTCCAGATCCACACAGAGGGTCGTCTGAACGGTGAGGTAGAACACAGATTGCAGTTAGCTGCAAAACCAACGTTTCACCCAGAACGCGTTCTCCCTCTGAAAGAAAGCTTCTGAGATTTCATTCACGCATCCAAACCTCATCATTCCACTTAGTTTTCCATCCAGACACAGGGGTTGCTTTAATAACAAGTTTTAATATCAAAATTGTTGTTCAAATTTGTCATTTATAAATTGTTATTCATAAATTGTCTATTTTAAGTTGTCAGATTTGAAATTGTTAGTAATAAATTCTTAAATTTTTAAACCTGACTCTTCTTTGAATGAAACACAGAATGGTGTGCATTTTCAGTTATTGAATCAGCAAAGAACCTTATTAAGTCTTCTGTTTAATAAATAAACTTTTGCTATTAATTTAAACATCTTAAATATTAATCCGTAGATTAAATATAAACCAAGCTCGTTGGTGTATGAACTTCTATCGATTATATTAATATCTTAGATGTTTATATATGATAGAAGCTTCATATGTTAACTTGGTTGTCTTTCTCAGAATCTAACAAAGCTGATAGCAACAGCGTTAGTTCTAGTATGTAGATTAACCCTACACACGTGTGAACCATGTGCACAAACACATTCAGTGCAAACACACACGTGCACACATGCAGTTAAATGTCTTAAATTAAATTTTGTGCTGGTTTGACTAATATGTGTGATAGGCTGGGCGATCAACTGGTTGAGACACCAACCAGTCCTGCTACATCTACATACAAACAGTCCAAAGAACTGGGTGTGAGCGTAGCCTCTGTGTGGCCCTCCACATACGGCCCCTTGAACACCCAGATGGTCTGTTACACATACGTTTCTGGTTCTGATCAAGCGGCCAAGCAGTCAACAATATTTACATACAAATAGCCCCAAGTCAATATATGTCTGTGGTACCAAGAACTGGGTGCGAGTGTAGCCTCTTTGTGGTCCCCCACAACATGATGAACACAAGCTTTAAAAACTCTGGACATCTCCTGTGATTTAGATTCATCATATATTTCCCCCAGTTTCAGCTGAGAGTCTCATTTAGTAACAAAACATGATTGTGAACTCTCTCTCAAGTCAAGTTTATTATATAGCCCATTTCATACACAAAACGGTAGCCCAATGTGCTTCACATAGTTAAAACAATCACAAGTGAAATGAAATAGTTAAAATGTCACATCATGTTGTGTAAAATCAAATCAAATAATATTGACACAGAACATAGCACACAAACATAAAAGCATATTAAGTACAATTATTGGTAGCGCTTTCTTTTACAGTCCTCTAATAACTTAGTACTTACATGGTAATTACTTAGTAAGTTAGTGTATTATTGTTTCTGAGTTCTTAAATTGTTATTACCATGTAACTCAGGTTCAATTCTAGTTTTTATTTTTATTAATCATTCATAGTATATACTGCTTTACACAGTAACTACACCAGGGTTTCCCTTACATAGGCGTTTCACGAGGAAGCAGCGGGAACTACTATGTTGTCGCTTGTGATCACAGCCGGCAGGCAGCAAGGAGGAGCAGGCAGGGCAGGGTGAAGTTACAGCATAAAGGTAGCAGTGGATATAATGCTTTTTGGTTTACATGTTTCAATAGCATTAAGATAAACGAGCGTTGACGATCTTGACAGGGTTTCCTCGCCTCACCAGGATAAGCATCACTTATTCATGTAAAATTTATTTTATTTTTTCACGTCTGACTTTAACCGCATCTAATACTGTATTACGATGTGAGCGCAACAGCGACAACTTAAGATCGATGTGTGAGCAGCCTGAGAGGTCGGGTGTTTTCATCTGAACCCTTAAAACCTCCAGCAGGCTACGCTGCACTATTGACGTGTTATCGCGCGGCGCTAACAACTTAGCGACATGACATGTCTCGGAGAAAGCGTAAAAACACGTTGAACGCTTCTTCTGAAGCAGGAAAATAACACCTCTTCTTAAGCAGAGCACGACGTCTCCTCGACTGAGCTCGATAACATTGACCCAGCACAGCCACTGGGTCGTTGGAGCTGCCCCGTGACTGCCTGATGGAAAACCAGCGGGTTTCATCAGGCTCGTAAAGTTTGTTTTTGCTGGGGACCCCCTGTATTTTACCGCTCCCTCCTGCAGTCTTCCCCTATTAACATTTAAAACGATTCTGTAAATTCCGTGTATCAATAGAAAAAATCTGTGCCTCTGCCAGCTGCAGTAAATGTAGTCTCCAAATAATAAATAAGAGGTGCATTCATCTGTGTATCTCCTTTGATCCGCATTAGTGATATTCTCAGCACCAGAACAGTGAAGCAAAGAAACAGATTCCTGAGTTTGTTATAATTTTATTTATTAGGTGCATCTAACCCAGGGGTGGGCAACTCCAGTCCTCGAGGGCCAGTATCCTCCATATTTTTGTTATTTCCCAGTTCCAACACAGTTGATTCAGCAGCTCATCAAGCTGCAGAAGCCAGCTAATCTCCTGCTGATTGAAATCAGGTGTGTTGAAACAGGGAAAACAGTAAAACATGTGGGATAGTGGCCCTCGAGGACCAGGATTGCCCACCCTTGATCTAACCTGTTCTATTTTTCTCTGAAATGAGATCAAATCAGTGCTTCTATGGGTTGTCTCCACTCTGCACTAGAAAATTTTACTTTATTTAGAGACGTGCGGAGAAAAAAACTTACAAGATGCAGAAAAATGGATAAACCTCCAACCTTCATATTGTCAGCAATAAACGCAGCAAAACTTAACTTTCATGACCAAAAAAAGAACCCCATAAAAATTATTCAGTACATCAGGAGAGCAGGAACAAGTCTTATTTCTGATTTTACATTTTTTACTTCAATTCAAACTATTTAGACTTTTGTGTTTTCATCACATTTAGCTTGTATTTATTTAACATATCATCAGCTTTACAGGTTAGCTGTTCCTGTGCGCTGAAAAAATTATGTTACTAACCTTCTAAAAAATTACCAAATCATTCATATGAAGTAGATTTGTTATTCATTATCTGAAAGTATCTGATTAGTTTAAAAAACTAAATATGTTTTGTTTAATTTGGTTTTCAGAATGTCACTGGTTTACTTATACTTTTAAAATATATATACTGATGAACTGAAATACAGAGAAATCAACTTGTGAGTACAATGCATGTTAATATAGTAAGTATAGCATGTTTAACATAAGCATATTCACACATGGAAAGTATCAATGTAAATAAATCATATGACAGTAACTCTGCTGTACTTTCATTGTGTAAAAGTAGCTCACGGGCCAGAAAAGGTTGGAGACCCCTCCAATAGATCATTCAGCCCTAGTGGATGCTTAGATGATTGTTTAAAGATTTCTTTCAGCGAAATCTTCGTCCACAGAGCTCACAAGCAAAAGGCTTCTGTCCTTTATGGACTCTTTTGTGACCGTTTAAACGGATCTTTTGGGTAGATCTTTTCCACCGAACTCACAGGCGAAAAGCCAGTGTGGACTCTAATGTGAATGTTTAAAGTTGACTTTTGGCTAAATCTTTTTACACAGAGCTCACAAGCAAAGGGTTTCTCTCCTGTGTGGACTCTCATGTGATTGTTTAAATGTGACTTTAAGCAAAATTTCTTTCCACAAAGCTCACAAGGAAAGGGCTTCTCTCCAGTGTGGACTCTCATGTGACTGTTTAAATGTGTCTTTCGGCTAAATCTTTTTACACAGAGCTCACAAGCAAAAGGCTTCTCTCCTGTGTGGACTGTCATGTGTTTGATTAAACTTCCCTTTTCACTAAATCTATTACCACAGAGCACACAGGCGAAAGGCTTCTCTCCAGTGTGGACTCTCATGTGTGTGTTTAAACTTCCTTTTTGACTAAATCTATTACCACAAAGCTCACAGGCGAAAGAATTCTCTCCAATGTGGAGTCTCATGTGTGTGTTTAAACTTCCCTTTTCAGTAAATCTATTACCACAGAGCTCACAGGCGAAAGGCTTCTCTCCAGTGTGGACTCTCATGTGTGTGTTTAAACGTTCCTTTTCACTAAATCTATTACCACAGAGCTCACAGGCGAAAGGCTTCTCTCCAGTGTGGACTCTCATGTGACGGTTTAATTTTGTCTTTAGGCTAAATCTCATTCCACAGAGCTCACAAGGAAAGGGCTTATCTCCTGTGTGGACTTTCATGTGTGTGTTTAAACTTCCCTTTTCACTAAATCTATTACCACAGAGCTCACAGGCGAAAGGCTTCTGTCCTGTGTGGACTCTCATGTGTGTGTTTAAACTTCCCTTTTGACTAAATCTATTACCACAGAGCTCACAGGCGAAAGGCTTCTCTCCAGTGTGGACTCTCATGTGTGTGTTTAAATTTGTCTTTTGCCTAAATCTCGTTCCACAGAGCTCACAAGGAAAGGGCTTATCTCCTGTGTGGACTCTCATGTGACTGTTTAAAGCTGTCTTTTGGCTAAATCTTGTTCCACAGAGCTCACAAGGAAAGGGCTTATCTCCTGTGTGGACGCTCATGTGTTTGTTTAAATTTCCTTTTTCACTAAATCTATTACCACAGAGCTCACAAGCAAAAGGCTTCTGTCCTGTGTGGACTCTCATGTGTTTGTTTAAACTTCCCTTTCGACTAAATCTTTGTCCACAGAGCTCACAAGGAAAGGGCTTCTCTCCCGTGTGGACTCTCATGTGTGTGTTTAATGTTGTCTTTTGGCTAAATCTCGTTCCGCAGAGCTCACAAGGAAAGGGCTTCTCTCCAGTGTGGACTCTCATGTGACTGTTTAAAGCTGTCTTTTGGCTAAACCTCGTTCCACAGAGCTCACAAGGAAAGGGCTTCTCTCCTGTGTGGACGCACGTGTGTTTGTTTAAACTTCCCTTTTCACTAAATCTATTACCACAGAGCTCACAAGCAAAAGGCTTCTGTCCTGTGTGGACTCTCATGTGTGTGTTTAAACTTCCCTTGTGACTAAATCTTTGTCCACAGAGCTCACAAGGAAAGGGCTTCTGTCCTGTGTGGACTCTCATGTGTGTGTTTAAACTTCCCTTGTGACTAAATCTTTGTCCACAAAGCTCACAAGGAAAAGGCTTATCTCCTGTGTGGACTTTCATGTGTGTGGTTAAGTTTTTCTTTCGGCTAAATCTCGTTCCACAGAGCTCACAGACAAAAGACTTCTCTCCTGTGTGGACGCTCATGTGTGTGGTTAAACTAGTCTTTTGGTGAAACCTTTGTCCACAGTGCTCACAGGCAAAATGTTTCTGCTTTGTCTGGACTCTCGTGTGTTTGTTTAAATGTGTTTTCTGGCTTAAGGATTGAAACCTGGCAGCATCAGTCTCCATATTCAAATGGAGACGCTCTCCCTCCATACTAGACCAGCGTTTCTCCAGTTCCTCCTGTTTGTGGAGAAAATCTAGGTGCTGGTGGTTGACACGAGCACTCTGTTCTTCTGAAGCTTCTTATTTAACCAGAACCATCTGTTGAAAATCTGTAGGAAACACAGAAACATATTATGTGAATTACAGACAGCTGTAACTGTGTTTTCACACATATAACAGTTGTATTATTTCTTTAAACTGACAGTAGAATGAAATGTATTTACAACTGGAAACTGAACTTTGAGCCTCTATAAATCATATGAGCCTTAACCCTCAGGCTTCACTTTAATTTTCATACAAGAGTCATTAGAGGACAAAAACGGCCGCTTGTAAAAGTGGCTATAAAAAATGTATACATTAATGTTTTTTTTTAAACTTTTTTTTCATAGATCTGTTGAACAACTTCAGCCCTGCTCAAACATAAAAAAAATCCAATCATTTTGAAGCTTTTAACCCCTGAAATGCCAGTTTGAATACTCAAAGTCATTGATGTAATTTATGAAAGAAAAAAAAAGAAAAATAACAGCACCGAGTTATTTTCTAAAAAAAACAGGTAACGAAACCGTTTCTGTGTTTTAAAAAGAACGACAGCATGGAATTAGTCTTGGACAAGGGCGTCAGTTTGTTTTCAGAATTGCTGGGGACAATAACCATACACTTGAGTGGGGTTTAAAAATTGCTGGGGACAATAAAGTAGGTGTCGGCAGCTCTGTAGCCGCATGCGGCTCTTCATCCATCTGATGCGCTCTCTGAGCTTGTAAAATAATGAATGGATATTTAAATAAAAAGCTTTATATTTTACTGCATTAATTTTACATCTGTATGCCAATTCTAAATGTAAAGATTGTCTGCGTAAACCTGAACAGGTCCAACCCGGTCTTACTGTGAGACCGGGTTGACGCGTCACGCTTGTGCGTAATCATAGGCGCTTCCTGAGCTGAAGGATGTCAGATTCTGGGCTTCTCCTCAGACAGGTTCCTGGATGCGTCGCCACATTGGAGACAGGAACAAGCGCTATTCAGCCAAAGTTTCATAATCAGGTGTGGCAGTGTGAGTGTCCTGTCACAGTGTCCCGATAGATCATGCGCCCTGGCTACTTGGCCAACGGAATGTCCCTTTGGCTGACTGGTTAGAGCGTATGACTCTCACCCGGTAGTCTGGGGATCGAATCCCGCCCGGGCCCTCGTTTCTCCATCTTGTCACATATTGACGGATAAACTCAAGGATGTTGGTTGTTTTGAAAGAATTACCCCGACGCACACTGATGCGCATGGATGAGCTGACATTTTAATACGCACATCGCAGAGGTAACTTGATTCCCATCAGAACATCAGAGCTTTATACTGGACACTGTGTTCAGTGCGGCTCGGCGCGCCCACGGTGGACAGTGGGCTGAAGATCTGTAGAGGGATTCGCAGCGCAGAACCACGGTGCATGCGATACGATTTCCTCCCACTGAAGCGTTCTAGAAACCCGGTCTCTCTGAGGGATGTGTCACCTGGAAAAATGTTCTTTTTATGAAATTATGAAACTTTGGCTGAACAGCGCTTGTTCCCGTCTCTAATATGGAGACGCATGACGCGTAGAGACATTTGATCACGCACAAAGTTTATGTGGAGCAGAAGCGGCCGGGCCACGGCAGGTGAAACGTTCCTAGCCTACATGAAGTGAAACTGTTTAATTCTAACATTAATGTGTTACTGGACATGCTGGTCTGGTTGGTTAGACCAGTGTTTGAAGTGGAAAACACACACACACACACACACACACACACACACACACACACACACACACACACACACACACACACACACACACACCAATTAAAATAATGCTGATAGCGTGGACTAGAAGACAGGTGATGGTTTACGTATTTAAATGATGATCAGGCTGCTGTAAAATGTAATCTCCATCCACATCCAGACACAATTATCCTCTATTCTTTCTCTATTTGCTCTGCTCTTGTCTGGGCTGACGTAGCTGAGGGTGCACGCGGCGCGCCTAACTAGCGGCTGACGCACATTTTATGCATTTGGAGAGGTGGGCTGGAAGCTTTGTTTTTACTGGAAGATGGTCCACTTAACGCACGGGTGTAGACTACATATTAATGACAAATCAATGAAAATTAAATTGTGAGTTTTTACTTCATATTTTATAAATAAAAATGATGGAGGAAAACATTTATGACTTCTTTTTAAACTAAATTTTCTAGCACGACCTGCCTGCTTCACTGAAGTCGCTGCTTATTAAGGTCCGTCCAGAATTACCGTGGCCCACCCAAAAATGAAAACCTGGCGCCGCGCCTGTTATAAACCTCTGCAAATTATTGTTCTTCACTTTATCAAACTCAGACTTTGTACAGCTAATGTAAAGATGTAAAATTATGAATTCAGTCGAGCTCTTCCGTCCCTCCCTCTCCTGCTCTCCTGGAAACCCGACATCGGCTGTCAGAAGCGGAGGTGAAGAAGGAGATGAAGCAAACAGAGTGAGTGCGACGTAAAGAAACCAGACTGGTGTGGAGGTGAGCAAAACAGCTGGAAAAGTGTGGGTGTTGAATCCCCCACGGGTGCAACGCCCATGCGATCGACCGGTACCGGCTGCTGTCATGTTGTGAGCAGCGCTCTGCTGTCTGAGGGTAGGCCCCGCCCACAACGCTGCGGCCGCTGTGGCTCCCAGTGTTTTCTTTACTGTGGGAAACGGGTAATAATGACTCTTTGATGGGAACAGGTTGCCAACCCCTGGTATAAGATCTGAGCTGGTAAAACAAAAATCCTCATCAGCAGGCTTTTTTTAAAGTGGGGGGGGACACAGCCAGTAGCGGTTTTAGGCACGGGCAGACAGGGCAATTGCCCGGGGCGGCATTTTTTTATGACACAAAAGGGGCGCACAAGCGCTGAGTAAAAAAATAAAAAAGAAAGAAATCTGAGCGCGCCGCACCGAGGTTTTTCTATTCTGTCATATCACAGTGTCTGGATTGGAACCAGCACGTTGGCGCCCCCTGCAGCTGCAGGCGCTTCTGCTGACTGAGAGGGCAGGCGAGTGCATCGACGAGTGCCTTGTTAAGCAGAGAACAGGGAGGGGCGCGAGGGGGGTACTCACCTTTGGGTCTCGTCTCTCCCAAATGAAACAGACGGGGGGTGGGGGGGTCTGAATCAACTGTGTGAGATGGCTGAAGTCAATAACGCCTTGATGTTCATTCATATAACGCACATTTAATTCATAATATTTTAAATACAGGCTTACAATTCATTCACGTTTTTCTGAATTGTGTGAAATGGACACAAAAAAAGAGGGGGAAAAAAACGATTTTGTGGTCACCCACCAAGGTCAATTGGTTTAGTCCTGACTCCTGGTTGTCGTTGACGAGTGGAAACCGGTTTATTGAGTCAAGTGCCAAACGAGATGGACAGAAAAAGGTCAAAACCATCAGGTGCCCAATTCAGGAAAAGAAGAAAAGAAGAAGAGGAGAAACGGGCTAAAGAGAAAGGTAGTATGTTCTCATGCTAGGATGCACATTTTAAATTTTTTTTTACCGGTTAACTGGGTATTTTAACGGTTAAATTCGGGTCAATTGCTAACGGAGCAAATGGGCTGAAAGTTTAAAATAAAGGGTTCGAATAAATTCCCTGAATCCCTTTTTAATGATTCAAGCGCGAGGATTTGTTAAATGTGCACTGAAATATAGGTGAATTTTGTTCTATAAAATATTAACTATAAATATCAGATGGGAAAGAGGAAACTAGACAACACCCATTGCTTTAATACATATTGTTTAGGCTTTTATAAGAAGAGTCTGACATTGCAGCCTTATCATTTAGTTGTTTTATTTCACATCTTTAGCAGCAGACCACAGTCTTGTTTGGACAGATTAGTCAGAAGTGTGCATTCAATGCATTTGTTACACTGATTATTTTTCACATGGTTTGTTCAGTAATAAAATGTGGCCTTTCTGGTAGTCTACAGTGTTTTTTTTTATGTCAGTTTAAATTGCAATTTCAGGGGCAATTCTAAAATATTTTGGATCATCATCTGCCTCTGGTCAGGATGAGCCACCCACCTCCCCTGCTGGACAAGACCTGCCATCGTCCACATCACCCACAGCCTTGACCCTTGAGGATGAGCTTCCATCTACATCCTCGGCTACTATGCCTCCAGAGTTATCTGCAAAAATATGTGATAGTGAGGATAAAGACCTTGCTGCTTCTTTTTCTACACTGTTAGACTTTACCTATCCACTTTACGGTAATAAACTGGCAACACTGTTGCCAGCATGATACCGTGATGCATGGTTAACGGTAACTTACCACTTAGTGTTGATCCCAGAATTATACCGTATATTATATTTTTGTAAAAAACCCTCTGACTGCATGCCGGTGAGATACTGGCAACACTGTTGCCAGTATCTCACCGGCAACAGTGTTGCCAGTAAAATACCGTAATATATTTCACAAGAAAATTACATCAATAACGCAACATTATACCGTGATTAATAAATATGTGTTGTGCTGTATGTTTATGGTATGTTACCGTAAACTCATTTCAAGGTATGCTGCAATACCTTTTCCAGTGATTTACCGTAAACATACACTTTTGCTACTGAGAATAGTCAACGCTGTCAGAGGGTACTGTGTTTTTGTGGGCAGTAATTTACCTTTTTCATGTCATATTTTACTAAGATACGAGTAAACGGTAACATACTGTAATAAAATAAAAGGCTCCCAAAATAAAAGGTTTATACTTGTGCGTGCACACACACACACCTGCACACTTGTTTGTGTAATAGTTGGATATATTTAAGATCAAGATGTAAACAAAATGCACTGGATTATCTTTTTTTATTTGATTTCTTCCATTAAAACAGAAAAACATACCAATATCCGGTAAAAGTCTCTTCAATAAAATGCTTTGTAGTTTAACATCCAGAATGGTATAGTGAGAAGAAATTGGCAACTGATGGTCATAATGTAAAAAAGAAATGAATCAGTGACCCGTGTGACCTACAGCTGATAAATAGCCAGATGTATACAAAATGTCTACAAACCTTTCTTAAATGCAAGTAGTAGTTTACGTATTTGAATTGGTGTAAGAAAATGTTTGAGATCATCTGCCTCTACTAACAGAAGGTCACTTTTTTGTTGGACACCAATGACATCTTTCAGGTGGTCTGCAAAGGACAGTACTTTCTGTCTCTCCAATTCTGGCAGGATGCATGTGATTTCATCTTCAATTTCCATCACTGAAATATAAGGGGAAAAAATCGTGAAGAAACTGAATGGTGCAGGGAGACAACAAAAAGATCTGCCATGTTATAAAGGGGTATTGGATAATAATCCATCAGACTGTCAGCATTTACACACAAATTTCTGTCTGTAGGGCAGTGTAGGCAATAAAGTCCAAGGTCAATAAGGCGTACTGACTGATGCAATTCTAGCACAAAGTACAATTTAGAATCATTAACAAGTATCACAACTATCTTCCCAAACTCAGTGCTCTCATCAGTGTAATCTACTACAACAACATGACCTTTGACATAATTGGTACCTTTGTAGACAACTGCTGACACATCTAGCATGTTGTGATTAGAGACATCTGCTTTTGTCACAGCATCCTGAGTGGCAGAGTTGTAAAGATGATGTCTATAATCATTTGCTTCTCCAATTATTTGAATTGTAGGTGGAAATATTTGCCCTGCCAAGAGGTAGGACTGCAGTAGCTGATGCCGTTCAGCCAGAGTCTTGCATAAATTGACAAAGTTATGCACATTTCTTGAACAATGTTTGAAATAAGAGTGCTTGCTCTCAAACCTAAGAGTCCATAAATGAATAAGTGGCCCAAAGTGAAATATAAGCTCTGGATAATGTGATAGGAAGTCATTTTGTGAAAGTTCCTGAATACTATTGTTTATAGATGCTTCAGGTATATCAAATGCAGAAAGTTTATCAAACAGTTTTCCAAGAACATTGTTCACTCCAGAGCTGTGAAGATCTTGGAATTCCTCTATGATGCACTTTATAGTGCTGGCTGGCAAAAGCATTTTAGCTTGCATTTTTAAATAAAACATTGCCAATTGATTTAGAAATGGCTCTTCATTATTTGTAGCATTCTGTAAATGTCTGTCTTCTAAGGTGTCCTGTCTGTCCTTGTACCATGTTAATGTCACCAATTTCTTGTTGACTTGTCTGTTGAACAGTCTTTGACTGCATGTGTTTCCGAGAAATATGACTAGAGAATGATGTTCAAACACTGAAATATTTAGAGCAACCTTTAAATGGGCATATTACTTTTTTTCCATCTTTAATATGGATCCTCAGATGGGCACAAAGAGTTTTAATATTTTGTCCAACATACCCACATCCAGGAACTTGACAGCTAAGATTTCCAGTGAACTTCCAGATCTCCTCCTCAGTGTTCTCCCCTCGTCTATGATTTCTGTGCATATGGGAACGAAAGGCAGTGAATGTTTTAAAAGTGGCTTTACAATTCTCAAGTCCACAAGAAAACATATAGTTTGCATTGTGTTTATGGCTTCTAACATGTGAACTGAACAATATAAATTTGTGTGCACGGAATCCACAATATTTACAGAGAAACATTTGAAGTACCCTATATCTTCAATAGTTTCTTTTCCAGGGATAGTTTAAGCAATACAACAAAAATGCATAGAAAACTAAACAGTACCTTAACAGTAGGCTAAATTGTCATAAAAGGCTCAAATATGCCTAAAATGTAACATCCCCTCAAAAAACGGAAAGTAGTATAGCTTTCACATTGGCCACAAAAAGGAAAATTATTTGACCTCAATATCAGAGTTAAACCTCTCCAACCTGTTCTGCATATCACAGCATGCACTGCCAGCAGCCTTCACCTGCAAACACTTACTGCCAAATTAGCCTGTTTTTTTTTTGCTCCTAACTTTATTGAAAACAAATGTCATACACAAGAGAAGTCAAGGAAACAAACTGACTTTGATAACAGTCTCCATTACAGAAAATGTGAAGCAAATCCTTTTACCTTTGAAAAGAAAAAAAGAAAAAGAAAAAATGATCAAGAGCAAAACAATAAGTAGCAGAAACATTTTGGCACAAGCAGTTTTCTTATTCATATCTGAGATGTGCTTGAGTGACTAAAAATATAGGGAAAAGTAATTCAAGAAAATGATAAACAGAGAACTGTTTTTTCAATTACATGAATACATAAATTATTTACATAGAATATTTACAAAAGAAAACATCAGATATTTTAGAATCTGGATTGTCCATGAGGTAAAGAACATCATTAAATATTATATGTTTTAAGTTAAATCTAGCTTTGGCTATCAGTCCAAAATACAAGCACATGCTGACAATTGAAAAATAGATTATGCATTGTTTGTAGATCCTAACAAATTTGGTTTTAAGCATCACATTACTTTGCATGGGTAGCAGCTGAAAATTAATCACCTTGTTTGTCAGTTTTTAAAACAATCGGGTAACTTCAATAAGGTGTTTACACATATATGGACAGGGACCATTTTGCAGAATTTGCATGAAGATCACAGCTATAGCTAGTTTAAAAGCCAAAACATGCAGTAAAATACTTACCAGACTGACCAACTCCCCTGTAATGGGTCACATTCGGGATACGTGTTTGGAAAATGTTTTTATTTCTTCTTTTCCTCAAAGTGCAAGACAACGATCATATATTGTGTTTCCAATGTTGTTGTTTTGAAAGCAAATATCCAGGTTGTATCAGGTGAAAGTGATGAATTATTTTTCACTTATCTAATTCTGGGAAACCCAACAACATAAAACATACCTAGGGGTGGAAAATACCTTTGATGAGTTCGTCCTTGGCCCATTTCCTTAAGATTCCATCTATAGCTGTCTGAATTTTTTGTTACATCTATAGTGAACACAATAGATGGACAACAGCATAATTTTGGTGGCTGTAATTATCCTATAATATTGCTATGAAAACATGCAAAAAAACAACTGATGGAATTTTGAAATGATCAATATTTTATGGAATATTTTAAATAAAATTTCTTACAAGTATAAAGTCGTAAACTGGTATCATGTCAGTTTTTTGATAAAATTCTGTAAACATTTATCAGTTTAAATCGCCCACCAGGCAGATGTCAATTACTGTCATTTAGGCAGTAGGACTAATAGTATAGCTTAAATATGATTTTATCAATCTGAGATGATTTTTTTATTTACAATGTAGGCTTGGTTAAAGCATCCAATCTTTTTTTATATTATAATTAAAATATTTTAAAACAGATTTTAGTGAGTGTTTACATACTGTATGCTTTTATAATAGCTCAATTAAAACATTTATTCTTGGAGCATTTTCTCTTTACTATGGGGCATAGTGTTTTTTCATTGGTGATCTCACAAAGAATTGTTTTGGTAATGCACTCTGAATGAAGATTTGAGCAAGGTGTTTTAAAATGTCCACTGAAAAACCACAGACAGAAAAATGTCAGAGGTATACCAAATTTTTATGTTTGCTGTACTTTACCTGTTTTCTTTAAAACAGTGACATACCATGAAAAATAGGTGATGTTGTTGAATTTACTCACCATTACATGCCAAATACAGTACTACACTGCAAAGATTTTAGCTGTATTTTACTGTTGATTTTACAGTAATATACTATAGGAATGACAGCACAGTCTAACAGTGCATGGAAATTACAGTACTACACTGCAAACACTTTTAGAGGTATTTTACTGTTGATTTTACAGTAATATACTAGCAAATGCCAGCAAAGTCTAACAGTGTACGCATCACGAGCCTTCAGGTGTGTGTGTGTGTGCGTGTGTGTGTGTGTGTGTTTAGAGGTGATATACCTAGACTCCCAAGTTTACTGGGCAACTGCACTTTTATGTCATTTAAATATTTCTGATAATTTGAGTAGGTCTGTGTGTAATGTTCCATTGCTATGCACTTTGAGTAATGTGCCAATATGTTGATAGAAATGGCTGGAGATGAACCCCCACTGAGCCCCACTGATGAGGAGGAGTCTTTGTCAAGTGACCCTGCTAACTGGCCCTCACCTCTGACTGACAGGATTCGGACTGAGCTGGTACGAAGAGGACCAAGTAAGGTGTCACCTGACTTTGTTTTTCCAAGGAATGAGAGTGATGGGAGAAGTTGTCATCACCAATATTTCAGGAAGACATTAATAAGTGGTGAAAAGATAGCAAGAACCTGGCTGATGTATTCCACTGTGAGCAACAGCCTCTTTTGCTTCTGCTGCAAGTTGTTTTCCAATAGGAACATTAAAATAACAGGTTCTGGAATGGCAAATTGGAAACATGCGAGCACTTACCTCACATCACATGAAAACAGTACAGAACACCTCCATTCCATGAAAGCGTGGAAAGAACTGGCAGTGAGGATAAGAAGTGGGAAAACTATTGATAAGCAGGAAATGGCACTTCTGGAGGATGAGCGGGTGAGATGGAGAGCAGTATTGACTCGTCTCACTGCTATTGTGCAGTCACTGGCAGTTCGAAATTTGGCTCTAAGAGGACACACAGAAACACTTTTCACACCATCAAATGGGAATTTTCTCAAAGAGGTTGAACTGATGGCCAGATTTGATCCCATAATGAAAGATCACCTTAACCGTGTCAGAAGAGGAACAGCAAGTCACAACAGCTACCTAGGTCATCATGTGCAAAATGAACTTATTGATATGTTGAGCAGCAAAATCATATCTACTATAGTGAATGACATCAAGGAGGCAAAGTTTTTTTCAGTAATTCTGGACTGCACCCTGGATATAAGCCACACAGAACAGTTGTCAGTGGTCATTAGAGTGGTGTCACTGATGGAGAAGCCCCAGATCAAGGAACATTTTATGGGGTTTTTGGAGGCAGAGGAGTCCACAGGCCAGCACTTGGCATCCATGATCTTGAGAAGACTCGAGGAGTTAGGAATTCCTTTTGAAGACTGCAGAGGACAGTCATACGACAATGGGGCAAACATGAAAGGCAAAAATAAGGGAGTTCAAGCCAGGCTCTTAGAAAAGAATCCCCGAGCTCTGTTCGTACCATGTGGAGCACATACATTGAATTTAGTTGTATGTGATGCTGCTAAGGGATCTGTTGATGCAATGAGCTACTTTGGTGTTCTGCAAAAGCTCTACACTTTATTTTCAGCCTCCGCCCAAAGATGGGCCAGCTTGAAGAACCATGTGAGCATCACTCTAAAGATGTGGTCAGAAACAAGGTGGGAGAGCAAGGTCAAAAGTGTGGAGCCCATGAGGTACCAGGGAGCTGCAGTGAGAGAGGCTTTAATTGAGGTGAGAGACAAAACCAAAGACCCTGCTATAAAGACGGAGGCCCAGTCTTTGTCTGAGGAGGTGGGATCGTACCGCTTCAGCATCTGCACGGTTGTTTGGTATGACATTCTATCTGCAATACAGCATGTCAGCAAACTCATGCAGTCTCCAAATATGCATGTGGACCTAGCTGTGAGTCTTTTGAAGAAAACTGAGCAAGGTCTCCACAGCTACAGGGCAAGTGGCTTTGTGACAGCACAGATGGCAGCCAAAGACATGTGTGAAGAAATGAATGTGGAGGCTGTTTTGAAACAAAAAAGGTTGAGGTCCACAAAGTGCCACTTTTCATATGAATCCCATGATGAGCCTTTCAGTGATGCCCTTAAAAAGTTGGAGGTTGGATTCTTTAATGTTGTTGCTGATGCAGCCACGTCAGCCATCAAGGAGAGGTTTTCCACACTGGAAATTGTACAAAACAAATTTGGGGTTTTGACCAATTTTCCAAGCCTTGCAGATGAGGAGCTGACAGAGCAATGTGAGGAACTGAGCACCACACTGCACTTTGATGGGAACTCTGACTTGGATGGTAGAGAGCTTGTGCAAGAAATCAAAAACTTCCCTAACCTGCCATCAACAACCATGAGCCTGATCGAGCTTATCACTTTCATCCATGATAAAGATCTAGTGGAGATCTACCCCAACTTTTGGACTGCTCTCAGGATTGCTCTTACTCTACCAGTCACTGTGGCTCAAGCAGAGAGGAGCTTTTCAAAACTGAAGTTGATCAAGTCCTACCTGAGGTCAACCATGTCTCAGGAGCGACTCACTAACCTGGCCGTCATCAGTATCAATCACTCAGTAGGGGAGAACATTTCATATGATGACATTATAGATGACTTTGCATCAAGGAAGGCCAGGAAGGTTAGGTTTTAGTTTGTGCTTTCTGTTCTAAGTGCAATGCTATAGTGATTAGTTTAGGTTTTTTATGTGTCATGAAGGATTTTTGTTATTTAGAATATTTTTTTATATATTCTGTTAATATATTATTCTTTATATATATTTTTTTTGTATATTTGATTCTATATATTTTTGATACATTTGCGTACATAATGTATATAGTTTTAAATTCTGATAACTTAATGGTAATTAATGTAAATATGTGTAATTTAGAAAAATGAATGTTCAGTATTCGTTCTAATAAAACATGCCTTTTTGTTAGAAATTAATACAGTTGTGTTACTGTGTGCATAAGTGTGCATGCGAGGTGTGTGTGTGGGGGGGGGGGGGGGGGGGGGGGGGGGCGCCTCAAGGGATGTCTCGCCCGGGGAGTAATTCCATGTAGAACCGCCACTGACAGCACCTCTTCCCCTTCTTTGAATGTAAAATGTTTGTATTTTTTGTTTGCCCTATTTGCATATGCTTCCTTCATTTTCTGTTGAGCCACTCTCACATTTTCTTTTACCTTCTCATTTCGGTCCTTTTGTACTTTTTCTTGCTCATTTACATATTCGCTGTATTCCATTGGAAGGATAATAGATGACAGCTACATTGCAAAAACAGATCATGTTTTTGCAATACAAATGTTACACATTTAGACACTGTTATAAAAACATTACTGTTAAAAGATTCTATGTCTGAAAACTATTAGAAGTATTTACAAAATCAGCATGTATATTAATATGTTAGTACAAAGGAAGATTCCAACATAACTCATGACAGGCAGACTCTTACCGGCATTTCAACGGGAAGCACATGGGAACCTTGCCTCTCTTCCATACATTAGGTAGAATGGTGAGAATTTTGTTGTGGTGTGCATTTTGGACCTCAGTGAAAACAAAGTGGCATCTAGATACAGATCCCAATCATCCTGCCTTTCATTAACAACTTTTCTGAGGGCCCTAGAAAAAAGAGTTTCATGCTTCAATAAGAAATACTTGAATTTCAATACATCTTTGAAATATTTATTCTCATTTTCTAGAGTCACAAAGCCATAGATGAATGAATACATGCAAATTATTTTAACTCAGTGAAGTCTGAGACCTAACTTTACAAATACAGGACATGTTAAGCTGTGGCAAGGTGGCGAAACGAGGGCCCGGGCGAGATTCGATTCCCAGTCTCCCGGGTGAGAGTCATGCCAGTCAGCCAAACGGATCTCCCTTTGGCTGACTGGTTAGCATGCATGACTCACCCGGGAGACTGGGAATCGAATCCCGCCCGGGCCCTCGTTTCTCAACCTTGCTTCAAAGCAATTGTCAAAAGAAGTTAAAACAAGACACTGCTGTAATTGTTTTCTCACCGTTTAATGTTGTCATTTGTTTTTTCATCCAATCCATTAGTCTGCGGGTGATATGCTGCTGTCACACTCCTCTCAATTGAAAGGAGCTCACATAGTTTGCTGTTGATCTAAAAGAACAATGAGGCACATTATAATTAGTTATTTTACAGATTTGACTTTTAGGCCAAATAAAAATTTATATTAAACATAACTTACTTGATTCACAAACTCTCGCCCTTGGTCTGTAAGTATGCGCAGAGGACAGCCATGCCGATAAAAAATCATGCATAAAGTTTGGGAGACTTCCTCTGCAGACTTGGTTTTCAGAGGGAAAGCCTCCACCCACTTTTAAAAATAATCTGTGGCTGTCAATATGTACTTGTAGCCAGAAGGGGTCTGGGGAAGCGGACCTGTCAGATCCATTCCGACCAGCTCCCACACACCAGATACCTGTTGGTGATAGATTAAATGTTTATGAACAGAAGTAACAGAGAAGTAATAAACTAACAGAATTACAATGGACAGTCACCTTGATGCAATCCAGTGTTTCGACTACCTTCAGTGGAGGTCCAACTCTTTGGCAATGGTCACATTCAGAGAGCTAGAAAATGTATTTTGTTTTATGAAATTTATAAATATTGTATATTAGAGATTGCTAACAATGAGGTAACGTACCCATTTCTCAATGTCTGCAGTCAGGGCTGGACTGGGACAAAAATTCAGCCCGGGCATTTTGACTGGAGACCGGCCCATCACCTGTTTTTTTTTGGAAAAGACATTAATCCTTATGCTGTTTCTGACACACACCAACGTACACTTTCTTATTGGTAGTATTTATGTATCAATCTAATAAACGTAAACCTACACCATCCTTCCTATCCTGGTATTCTAAAAAGTAGGGTTGGGGGTAACTGATTATTTTTAAAATGATTATTCTGACGATTATTTTATCGAATAGTCGACTATTCTAATGACTATTTAGATGATTAATCTAGCGATTACTTTTCTATTGCACAATTAATAAAAACCAAAAAATTCTCAAATAAATTCCTCCAAAAAATTGATAAATTGTTACTGTAAGAGAATAAACACTACAGGCCTTCCATTTTGTATAACACTGCTTTTATTGTGTTGCGGTTGTTTATGTTCTGGTGATGTGTAGAACTTGGGAGTGCAGGCTGCTGCCTGAGAGGTGGTTGGAGACGGAGTGTCTCCATGCTGCTTTGTTTTGTTCACTTATGTGTGTGAGGCAAGTGGTGTTACGACCCTTCCTGGGGAGTCACGTGTTTCTCCTATTTTAACTGTAAATCCTTCTAGCTGTTATATTTATAACAAGAAACAGATATTCGGACAGAATATTTTCACGTTTATTCGAATATGATTGTGGAACACACCCAGCATCATAATAAATGAAGTAATATTTATGCCAATTTAAGCCTTTATGGGTGACCAGGACTCTGTGTTTATGAATGTGGAAGACACCCAGCATCCTGTGATGGCACTAATAACATCAAGAGATAATAAATAAGGTAATATTTAGGTCAATTTAACCCTTTACACGTGACCAGGACACTGTAATCAATTTTTGGCAAGGGAAATGATCATTTGTTGCCATTTTTGAGGTGTTTATGAATGTGAAAGACACCGGCATCCTGTGATGGCACTAATAACATCAAGAGATAATAAATAAAGTAATATTTAGGTAAATGTAACCCTTTACACGTGACCAGGACACTGTAATCAATTTTTGGCAAGGGAAATTATCTTCTTTTTTTTTTTTTTTGCCCTTTTTGGGGTGTTTTTGATGACACAGTAGGCAGTATGAGTACAGTAACATCAACAGATAATACATAAAACCCTTATTTGGTCAATTTTAGCCTCCATGAAAATCTTAGCGATTCAATCACTTTTTGGCAAGTAAAATGCCATTTTAGTTGTCTACAATTAAATCATCAATAAAGAATTTAAAGATATTTTGAGGCATTTCTTATAGGTAAACGGGAGGGTGTAGTCTATTTGGCACGTGACAATCTTAATTTTATGTGCTGAAGAGCTTTTATCTTGTTACTTTTAAATAGAGCAACGTAATGAATAGCAACCTACATAGTGTCATTGTAAAGCCAAAGCTTGATCAGTTTAAATACTATTTTTCAAGTAAAAATGTGCCCCAAACTAGTTAACTGTGGCTCCATGTCAAGTAGACTAAAGAAAGGAAGGGGAAAAAAATTTAATCGCTGGAGAATTGTTTATTTCCATTTATACAACGTTTACATTCAATACAGGGTGCCATTTTACATTGTTTATTTATTTTTTTTAGTATCAAGGCTGTAACATAAAGAAAGCCAGTTCTTACCACAAACCATCTTTCAATCGCAAATATTGCAAAAAGGATTAATATATCCTCATTGTGAACGTTTAAGACAAATAGCAACACTTAAAACAACTTCCGAACTGGAAAAACTAATGTGGCAAAGTGCAGAAACGAGTGCCAGGCGGGATTCGATCCCCAGACTCCCAAGTGAGAGTCATACGCTCTAATCAGTCAGCCAAAGGGGCATCTCCTTGACCAAGCAGCCAGGGCACATCATCAATCGGGACATTGTGGATGCTCACCACACTGCCACATCTTCCTCCCTCTTTCCACAAGCACGTCCTCGTGCTCCCGCGCAGGGTGCCACAAACACTGCCACACTAATATCCGCGATAAACATCTGTTTAAGTACCGGAAGAGGGTATCTTTGCTTTCTGAATGTCCATATTGCTAGATATGCTAAGTTTTAGGGCGAAATCCTGGGGAATTTTGTCTAGAAATGCAATTACCTAACCGTGCGCGATCCCGCGGTGGCTAATCATTTTTTGGCAGCGAGTCAATTTATGGCACAACATCGGCTCGGGTTTCTCCTCCTCCTCCCTCTTTTCTTCTCCAACCTGTCGCTGGGCTGAGGCTCCATCACTTCCTAAATTGATTTTACTTGAACCTTCACTACCAAACAACTGTGAGATTTTAACACATGTGCCAGCATCAGCCTGAAGGGCCAGTTTCTTTTTTAGTCGAATTTTCTCCGCTCCTCCTTTCCGTTTTTTGTTCTCCATTTTGTAAAGCTCGTCTGTCTGTTTACTGAGATTCACAAACAACTGGCGGGTGCATCAGACCTCTGGCTATTGGTCCAGCCCAGAGTGTATTATTACCAATTGGCCAATCCACCAACTTTTACGAGGCGTCGCGTGGGGCGGCGCGGACAAGTTGTCCGCAACAACTAGAGGCCAGGAAAAAAAAAAAAAAAAAAAAACAGACACCGGCCCATAAAAGATGAAAGGGTCGGCCCAGCGGGCAGTTGCCCGCTATGCCCTATGGTCAGTCCAGCGCTGGCTGAAGTGCTTTTATCTTGTTACTTTTAAATAGAGCAAAGTAATGTATAGATAGTAACCTACACAGTGTCATTAAAGCCAAAGCTTGATCAGTTTAAATACTATTTTTCAAGTAAAAATGTGCCCCAAACTAGTTAACTGTGGCTTCATGTCAAGTGGACTAAAGAAAGGAATGGGAAAAAATCAAATCGCTGGAGAATTGTTTATTTACATTTATACGACGTTTACATTCAATACAGGGCGCCATTTTACATTGTTTATTTATTTTTTAGTATCTTGGCTGTAACATAAAGAAAGCCAATTCTTACCACAAACCATCTTTCAATCGCAAATATTGCAAAAAGGATTAATATATCCTCATTGTGAACGTTTAAGACAAATAGCAACACTTAAAACAACTTCAGAACTGGAAAAACTAATATCCGCAATAAACATCTGGAAGAGGTTATCTCTGCTTTCTGAATGTCCATATTGCTAGATATGCTGAGTTTTAGGGCGAAATCCCGGGGAATTTCGTCTAGAAATGCAATTACCCTAACCGTGCGCGATCCCGCGGTGGCTGATCATTTTTTGGCAGCAAGTCGATATATGGCACAACACCGGCTTCAGTCGTTCACTTCAAAGAGCCGGCTCTTAGAGCCGGTTCGTTCGCAACCGACACATCACTATTGTTTTGAACGGTTCAACTTTGGAAGCCATCGAGACACGACCTAGAAGCTGTGCTGTTCTGAGATAACTCGGTGGACTTGGTGAGTTTTGGTAGTCAGTAGTCGGTAGTACAGTCAGTAACGTAGTTGGATCTGGAACATTTACCGTCTTTAGTGAGTGGAGCAGTTCACTTGGTGAGTGGACACCGTTTCTTTGTGAGGGAAAGCACGCTAGCGGCCTAATGGAGTTAGCATCATGCTATCGCTAAATCGCGAGTGGGGTTTTCCCTGTTTAAAATCAACAAACTATTTTATTACCGTTAAATAGTTTTAATAAAGAGATCCATAGAACAGGCGCACACACACAACAGCAGCTCCTTGCTACATTTGAAGTTTACTCAACAGCATTCAGCATGAAAATGAACCAAGTAGCAAGTATTAATTTGACAAAACAGGCTAAAAAGAAATGCCAGCTGATGTTTCAGAGCATTCGTTAAGCAGATGTTTTTCAGGGATGCATATTTACATGTAAATAAAAGTAAATACAACTTTAGAAAGACACATTCTACTGAGTAAATGTATAATATAATGACTTAGTAATCAATAATAATACTGAGAACACAATAGCATTCTGCTAAAACACACCTAAAGTTCATTTAGCTGGGATTCCTGTGTTTTCATGTACATTACACGTCCGTGGAGCTGCCTCTTGGCCAGGACTCCCTTGAAAGTAAGGTTTGTGATCTCAATGGGACCTTCCTGGTTAAATAAAGAATAAATAAATAAACTCACTACTTCTTCATGTAAACTCTAAACGAAACCCTTTAGTGCTCTTGGCTCAGCTGGAGACGAGGAACCCTCAGGTTGTGTTGTTCTTTACCTTTTCAGCTTCCAGCCCTCTGCTGATATCACACCTTGCTTTCCTTGTTGGCTCCATGAGATGCTGCCATGCTGGATTTGACTTTTAGTGAGCCACCAGACAGAACTAAACAGGAGAAACGTTGTTAGTATTTTTGTAGAGCATCCATCTTCTATTTAGTCTGTAGCTGGAAGAACAGAAGAGAACTCTGTGAACTCTGGTGAGCAAAGGTCCTCTTTTCCAGACTGGATCTGTCCTCAGCTGATCAGAACCAAAGCGTTGGATCTTTAATCTCCTGCGTTGTTCTGAAGCAGCATCTTAATCAGCTCTCCTGCTTTGTTTCTATTGCAGCTGTTAGCTAAACACGGCTAAAGAAAACCTGCTACCACTTCAGGATCATCCATCAGCTGGGACTGATTCATCGTGTGTTCTTCACCACCTGGACCTGGACAGCATGGACACAGGTAGGGCTGCCACCTTTCAGATATGTAAATAAGTAAATGAGTTGGAGAAGTGGTTTTTCTCTTAGACAGCTGTGTTATTCACACAGGTGTGAAACATCTGTAAACGCCAGATCTGGTGCAGGAAAATGGCTGAACAGGGAGTGGGGACACACTTTGCCTTCTGCGGTTGTAAGTGATAATAATAATAATAATAATAATAATAATAATAATAATACATTAAACTTGTCTAGGGCTTTTTAGGTCAGTCAGGCTTCACAAAAAATGCAATAAACACATAATAAAACAACATGAAACATAGTAAACAGACTGGGGGATGCTGGGTTGATCTTAAGAGAAGGCCAATTTAAAGAAGTGGGTTTTAAGCAGTGACTTAAAAGTAGAAAGAGAGACGGCGTTCCTGATGTTTAGTGGGAGAGAGTTCCAAAGTGTGGGGGCAGCGGCTGCAAAGGCTCGATCCCCCATGGTGCCATGTTTTGTTCTGAAAGGGAAAGGAGGTTGGAGTCAGCAGAACGGAGGTGCCGGGAAGGAGAATGGCGATGGACTGATTATCTTTTTGATTTAAAAGTTGTGAAACTATTCAGTATATCCGTGCTGCAATAAATGGTCTTCAGCGCTAAAGACAAAAACAAAATGCTTACTACAGCCTCCACATGTGACTCCAGAGAGCAGTCGCTAAGTCAGCATGCAGCTCAGTGAATTTAATGTCCTAGTCGAGTGGGTGGTGGTCTTATGGAAACATGAGAGCAAGTCAAACTGCAGCTTTAAGAGCACTCTGAAATTATGACACGTCTCTAAATAAAGTAAAATTTTCTAGTGCAGAGGAGACAACCCATAGAAGCACTGATTTGATCTCATTTCAGAGAAAAATAGAACAGGTTAGATGCACCTAATAAATAAAATTATAACAAACTCAGGAATCTGTTTCTTTGCTTCACTGTTCTGGTGCTGAGAATATCACTAATGTGGATCAAAGGAGATCCACAGATGAATGCACCTCTTATTTATTATTTGGAGACTACATTTACTGCAGCTGGCAGAGGCAGAGGTTTCTTCTATTGATACACGAATTTACAGAATCATTTTAAATGTTAATAGGGGAAGACTGCAGGAGGGAGCGGTAAAATACAGGGGGTCCCCAGCAAAAACAAGAAACTTTACGAGTCTGATGAAACCCGCTGGTTTTCCATCAGGCAGTCACGGGGCAGCTCCAACGACCCAGTGGCTGTGCTGGGTCAATGTTATCGAGCTCAGTCGAGGCGACGTCGTGCTCTGCTTAAGAAGAGGTGTTATTTTCCCGCTTCAGAAGAAGCGTCCAACGTGTTTTTACGCTTTCTCCGAGACATGTCATGTCGCTAAGTTTTTAGCGCCGCGCGCTAACACGTCAATAGTGCAGCGTAGCCTGCTGGAGGTTTTAAGGGTTCAGATGAAAACACCCGACCTCTCAGGCTGCTCACACATCGATCTTAAGTTGTCGCTGTTGCGCTCACATCGTAATACAGTATTAGATGCGGTTAAAGTCAGACATGAAAAAATAAATTTTACATGAATAAGTGATGATTAACCTGGTGGGGAGAGGAAACCCTGTCAAGATCGTCAACACTCATTTATCTTAATGCTATTGAAACATGTAAACCAAAAAGCATTATATCCACTGCTACCTTTATGCTGTAACTTCACCCTGCCCTGCCTGCTCCTCCTTGCTGCCTGCCGGCTGTGATCACAAGCGACAACATAGTAGTTCCCGCTGCTTCCTCGTGAAACCGCTAAAATAAATAAAACTTGGGATCTTGTAGGCGTGGCGGTGGGATTTCAGCCGTGGCGGGCCGCCACGGCTACGCCTATGTAAGGGAAACCCTGACAACTGTTTATGAAATAACGTTACCTTAATTAATGACATATTTTCCTAGTTTACATTATGTTGTTTGAAACCAAGGGTCTCATTATCTGAACTTTTTAACTTGTTGGATCGTGAATCTGTTTAAAAACTTTGCTCTATATCAGGGTTTTTCCTGGCTCAGACTGAGGCAGAGGTGGTACCATCCTGACCGTGCGCCAGCACATGCGTACTCTGTGCATTCAACTGCCTCACTTTTTTAAAGGCTAAATATGTTTTCGTTAAGTGTTCTAATCTTTTTTTTTTTCTTTTTTTTTACCGTGTCCTGTCTGGCTGTGAAGCAAGCAGAATTGATGTCTGAATGCTGGTGACAAGCCTTACAGATTTATTCTCAGGTGGAGCATCAAAGCGTTTGCTTTTAATGTCACGCCTGATACTTAAAACTTTATTGTTATTGTTGTTGAATGCTTTGTAATTCCGACCTGACACGGAGACAGAGGTGAAAGAGAGAGGAAAAGAAAAGGTGGGGAGAAAGGGGGGGGTTCCTCAAAAATAAACAATAATGAACAAGAGTCTGCTTCGAGACCTGCAGAAAAAAGACAAAAAAAAAAAAACAAAAGGACACAAAAAAGGGACACAACAACAATACAACAAGATCTACCTATCACTGCGTCAACTTGATGAAAAAAAAATATATATGCATATATAATCAACATTGCTTAACTGAAGAATCACGATAATAAATCACAACGCATTAAGTGCCCACCATAGTCTTAAGACATGTGTTTAACGTGCCCAAGCCCATACTTTTGAGAGCACCATGTGAGCACCTGTGTGTGTACACGCGCTTGTTTATTTAAGGTTTTTCTATAGGAGCGCCCAACAGAGAGTGTGAGGGACCACAGATCTGCCCCCCAGAGATGCGCAGGAGACGGGGGGAGCTCCAAGTCCCAGAGATCCAGGCGCTGCCCCAGAACGCAGGAACCCCAAGGAGACTGCAACCAGGAAGGCCCCCGCCCCCCTCGAGAGGCACAGAGGATCGCCCCGGGGGGCCACAACCAGCAGCCGGCAGAGTCCCGGGAGATATCAGCGGCAAGCCCACAGGCCCGCCCGCAGCCTCCCACCCCCTAGCCGGCCGAGCCCGGGACCCAGCGACCCGGGACCCAGCGACCCGGGACCCAGCGACACGGGACCCAGCGACACGGGACCCAGGGGCGACCACCCCCGCCGGTGACCCAGCAGAGCCCAGGGACCCAGACCCCACCGGGATCTAACAGGCAGATGCCAAAATCTTAAACCCCCAGACCCAGTTGCCCCGAACACTCAGGCAGACCAAGGCACAAGCCCCCACACCAGGTGTGGCGGGGGAGGGGGGACAGAGATCTATATCATCAAGAGAAGTTCCAGGAGAGGGGAGGACCCAAAGGCCCCACCTGACATATACAGTCATACACACAGTCACACGCTCCCTCCCTCATGCTCACACATGCACATACAACCCAAGACTTACAAAAATGCACGCCGGACACCCACTCATGCTCTCCATACACACCCTATTCACTCTGGTCCCGGTACTGCTGCACATTGGGTACAACCATCACCGGTAACCAGAGTTTGACCCTTTCTGCTGGGGTGCTGATGAGCAGGCTCCCCCGCTCAACGCTGAGCACAGCAACCCACCACCCCAGACCCCAACCAGACGGCCAGATCTCCCTCCTAGCCTCCAGCCCCAGGAAGCCCAGCAACAACAGAGGTGGCTAAGACCCCTAGTCTCCCTCCGCCTGCTCCAATATAGTGTTGTGTGATCATGAGGTGTATTCCATGGCTGTGGTGAGTGGGCAGTGCGGGCATCATCCAGCATATGCCAGCTGATGCCACCGCACCACCCCACTTACACCCTCAGCCATCAGTGTCTAAGTGCGGTTTAAAATTGGAAGTGGGCACCGGCACTCGGGAGGAGGCTGAGATATCCCCCTGCCAAATGCCGTTGAATGTGCTCACTCCCAAGGCCCTAATAGCTCTTTTCCATCGCCTGGTCTGGGACGGTCAGGTCTGGGTATTATGGACCGGTATGTACCGGTATGGGTCTAGAAGTTTTCTGGCAAGCGTTTCTATCACATTCCAGGCTCCAGTAACTAGGCGGGGTAGCGTAATGCGTCACGCGCGATGTGTGCCTTAACGTCACACAGCGCGACGAGATCGCGCCAAAACACAACAACAATGGAGTCCAGTCACCAGCGCGTTCTTTCTGTTCTTGGTGTTTGGTATATTCTTTACACCCACATCACGATAGCGTTTAGAGCTATGCTGTGCGCATCGAGGAGGAGGGCAGCTGAAAGGCGACGACGCTTTCTGAAATTAATATCGGACACGAGGCATAACTTTCTACTGTTGAGACAAAGACGGAGGCGCCAGGTGGTAAGTAACTTCTAATGCTGTAATACATGTCGTTATAATCTCTGAGGGGGTGTCTAGGGCAACTATCAAAAAACAAAAACAAAAAAAAAAAAAGCACCAAAATCAAATGGTTTGGTTGTATATTGGTCATTTAAGACATGCTAAACATGAAAGGCCAACACCTAACTAAGTTTCAAACAGCTTCTGCACTCATGGTGATGCTAGTCAACAGGAGGGCCTGAATCCTTCACTCTTTACTTCCTGGGCTTGTCATAGATAAGTTGTGCAGCTGTACTGAAATTATTATAATTAATTATATAGGTAATTACAAGCAATACCACATTTGTGCATTTTATAAAGTGAACAAAACATAGCCAGTCACTGGTAGCGCCATAAAGAACAGCTGTTATTTTAACCTTAAACAAATTCTATTGATGTGAACTTTATGTCTATAACCATACTGTTTCAATCTTTTTCACAGCACTATTCTTTTTACTTTTACTGTGTTATGACTGTTTTTTTTTTTAGTTGGCTCTTTTGAATCAGCGACGGCAACCAACTGTGTGGGCCTTCAGCCGTGCCAGTGCCTTCTGGGATGTGACCATGCCAAACTTCACTCCGTCAGATTGGATAGCTCATTTCAGAATGTCAGAAGAGACCTTTTCATATCTTTGTTCCAAGCTCCGTCCAGCCATGCAGAAGAGGAACACCAACTTCAGAGCCTGCGTGCCACTCAGGAAAAGAGTTGCAATTGCACTGTGGAAGCTTGCAACTAACAGTGAATACAGGAGCATCGGGCTTCTTTTTGGTGTCAGCACGACCTCTGTGTGCCGCTGTGTGCAGGACTTCTGTAAGGCTGTCTGTAAACTCTTGCTTGCCGAGGTTATTGCTTTTCCAACTCTGCAAAAGCTACAGGAAATGGCTGACTATTTTGAGACCAGGTGGGGGGTTCCTCAGTGTGTGGGTGCCATTGATGGTTCCCATATCCCAATAATCGCACCACAGGGATTCCACACAGACTACTTCAATAGGAAAGGTTGGCATTCCATAATCCTCCAGGGCATTGTGGATGGCAGAGGCATGTTCTGGAATGTTAATGCAGGTCAGCCAGGTAGCTTACATGATGCCCGTGTGCTGCGATTGTCCACATTTTGGGACTTGGTTGCTCATGGACAACTGCACCCAACTAGTACCAAGAACATTGAGGGAGTAAATGTAGGCTTTTATGTGCTCGGGGACTCTGCCTATCCTCTGCAGAACTGGCTCCTAAAACCATTTTCTGACAACGGTCGTCTCACTGCTGAACAACAGACGTACAACAGGAAAACATCCAGAGCCAGAGTTGTGGTCAAATGCATTTGGGAGGCTAAAGGGTAGGTGGCGATGTCTTCTGAAGAGTAACGACAGTGATGTAGAGCTTCTTAAATACATGGTGCTGACCTGTTGTGTGCTTCACAATATCTGTGAGAGCCATGGGGAGGAATATACAGAATGTGACGCACCTGCTGATGAACCAGTGGTTGCAAATATGCAGGAAGTTGCAGAGGAGGGCAGTGATGTGCGTGAAGCTCTGATGCGACACTTCACCCGCTGACCTCAGTTTGTGTTTTTTCTTTCCATTTACTTTGTTTATTGTTTTGACACTTTTAACTGTTCGAAGCCTGTAGTTTGAACTGAAGTGTTTGTTTTATTTTCAGAACTTAATAAAGTACACTATTTTACTGTTAACGAACTGTTGCACCTTTCCATTTTAACATATATTTAAGGTGGGCTGTAATGTAATCTACATTTATTATGTAAATTTAAATTTGCGAGCAAAAAATTTTAAGACAATTCATGCACACCTTGTTTTTCTTTGAAAATTTATTGATAAAAAGGACAGACGGATAAAAAAAAATATGGGACAAATACACAGCACCTTACTGCCTGGGTGGTGGCAGGAAGTCAGAGGAGCTGCCCATTCTTTGTGCGACCAGTCCAAGAACAGCATTTAGGGCACCCAAATGTTCAAAATATCGCTCTGCGATCTGTAATTCATGTTGCCTTGCTGCTGCTGCGTCTTGTTGCATCCAGTTAACCTGCTCCCGGCTTATGCCTTCCATTCTGTCCATCTGCCTGCCATCTGCGATCTGCAACTCATCAAATATCACCTGTGTCCGTGCTTCCAATCGCCGTCTTCGGTCACCTGGAAACAACAACATTGACAATTACATTTGTGTTTATATGGATATCAAAATGTCAGTTGTCCAGTGAACTTGTCAGTTTTGTTTATGCACAAAGCAATTTTTAGAATGGTTAGACACTACCTGTGCGTCGACGACATGGTAGATGTTCCTCTCGAGTGGTAGTGGACAGAGGTGATGGTGGTGGCGATGGAACTGGCCGAGGCGATGGTGGCACAGAAGGTCCTGGAGTGCTACTTGAGGAAGTGGATGGTTCCTCTGAAGAGGGAGTGTTTTCCGCTTCAGATGTGTCTGAAAAACACAGATCAAAAAATTAGTCAGTAAGAAAAGGTCACGAAATAAATCGGTAAGAAAAGCACAATATTTTTACAGCAAAAGAGCATATAGGCATATAGTAAACTTAATAAAACTGCTATGATTTAAGGCCATTTTGTCATTTGGAACGTGTCCACTAGATGGCAGTAATTCGCCAGTGACGTACAGATTAATTGCAATTTAATGTTATATTCTTATTCATCCGAAAAATATATACTTGTTAAAAGTCCACTCTAGGCGAAAAACACTGCTGGCACGACTTTTGGGATATTTATAATATTAGATCAGCTCGCTTCTTCTCACTGTGCGTGCTCAGCTGTATAAAACAATGAGATGCTAACAACACTGAGATGCTAACGTGAAAGGCTAACCGAATTTCCCATGTTTTAAACAATGAGACGCTAACAAGAAAGGCAAACTCCGCTCCAGCCTCATGTACTCAACAAGGACATGCTAAACATGAAAGGCTTATATCGCGAACAGCGTGTTAAGAAACACGGGGGAATGCTAAATGAAGGTTAGCATAAACACGAGGGGATGCTAAGGCTAGTTAACATGAGGGGCTAAATCCTTTACTTGCTGAGCATTTCTTAAATAGCTGCTGCTATTATTCAGTGTTTTTGGTGCTGCAATGAATGGCCTGCAGAGCTAAAAAGACAACAAAAGAAATGCTTACCAACAGGGTTTATGAGTGACTCCAGGATACTGGTCGCTGAGTCCAGGCCTCCTTCGCTGCCTCGGTTTGACGGTCTGTGTCCATAAATAGCGTCCACCACATCGTACCACTTCCAAGTACTTCGCCCATTCCCACTACGGCCGTTGCTGTCCTTAACTTTTCTGTAGTGGGCTTTTATTTTTTTCAGCTTAGCACGACACTGCTCGGAGGTGCGCTGGAATCCTTCAGCTGCCATGCGCTGAGAAACTTCTTTGAAGACTTTCTCATTTCTTATCATCCCATCCAGCTCGGCCTGAATGTTGCTATCTCCGATGATGGTGAGGAACGTTTGAAGCTCCGCATTGGACCAAAAGCTATTACTTGCAGGCATTTTCACACACAAGAAGTACAGCCAAACAAACACTGGAACTCGACTCACTTCTTTTTCCATCCCCTGGGATTGTCGCGGGTAGTTACGTAATTTCGCCCCCAATCAGAGGACTCTGGACCTTTTACGCTTTGGCTCCGCCCAGACCAAAAATCTCTGGACCCACAACAGAAGGGGTCCCGCTCTGGCCCGCTACTGGACCGGTTCGGGTAGTTTCCTGGACTGGTTTAAACAATCGAAACAGAATATTTAGTGACCCGATCCTTCCCATTCCATGCCAGTTTGGTCGGTGGAAAAGGCCTATAAGTGTGTGTTTGTGTGGAATGTCGTCAGTGGAAGTGTATAAGGTGCAAATAAAATTGGGGGGCAGGTTTCCACAGGAATGTGGAAATGGGGTCCATACCCGCACTCCCTGACTTGCCCACCCCCCAAGGTCCTATGTGTATGTTTGTGTGATGATGTGAGGGAGCAGGAGGAGAGAAATATGCGGGGATGGGGAGGAATGGCTGGTTGGGCTTAGCCCTCCAGGGAGCCAGCTCCTCTACTGGCCCCAATAGGCACCTCTGTTGTCAAACCGCCACCCAGGGCATGGAGACCCCAGCCCATCCTGCCAGGGCCCAAAGCAGCAGCATTACAGAGCCTCACGGAGTCCGAGGGCACCAACCCAGCCCCACCCCAGCAGAATATCTATGCCCACCCCTGCATTTGCACAACTTCCAGAATATATAAGACATGGGACATCCAGGTAAGGTTGGGTCCTCCCCATCCTGGACCTCCCCCTCCCCTGTTATGGAACGGCAGAGGAGCCAAGGCCTGCCTGAGGCCCCCGAACCCGGGCCAGGCACTGCTGGGTGTCCCTGCCTTCTTCCCGGCAGCATACATGTCAGGACCCGACCCCCAAGACCCCGCCCAGACCCGCCCAGGGGTATTGCAGCCGCCAGGCAGTGACCCATGGCCGCCGCCAAGATCCCCAAGAGGCCCCACTCACAACTTCCAGCAGTCCACCCCCCGAGGCAACCCAAGCACCTCCAGAGGGGGGCAACCGCCCCCCAGTCCCAGACACCCCCAGTGAACCCACCTCCAGGGAACATCCGGATACTCCAAACTCAGACCCCACACCCCCCCACCCACACCATCCTGCAGGACAACATCAACGGTCCCCCACCCTCGCTATGTGATGGAACCGATCAAAGGAGCCCAGAGAGATTCGTCTGAAGTGGAAGCAGAGGCTATATCAAGTGCAATATGATCTAACAAAAGATTTCTATACTGGTTAATGCAGAGACTTTCTCTATTTTTCCAATTCAAGAGGATAGTTTTCTTAGCGATGCATATGGCAGTCAGAACCACGTGAACCAAAGATGTTGCAATCGGGACATCGTGCAGCTGTCCCAGTAAACAAAGAGAGGGGGAAGTTGGGATATGACATTTCAGACATTTTGACAGATCCTCACATACTCTACCCCAAAATTCCTGGACAGTTGGACAGGACCACAGTGCGTGAATGTAATTATCAGGAATGTTGTTTGTGCAGTGTGTACAGGTGTCAGACAACACAAACCCCATCTTGAACATCCGATGACCTGTATAGTGTACTCTGTGTAGAATTTTGTACTGAATTAATTGTAAATTGGAGTGTCTGATCATTTTAAAAGTTTTTAAACAAGTTTGGGACCAGAAGTCCTGGTCAAAGCTAACTGATAGATCCACCTCCCATTTTTCAATGGGGATTGCAATTTTATCGTCTATTTTGGACAGTGTCTTATATACTTTAGACAGTAGTTTGGGGGGTTTGAGATTATAAAAGTCTAATACCCTTGGTGGTGTTTGTAATTCTATTTTATTGAGCTTAAATTTTGAGCTTAAATTTTTGTTTGACTACAGATTTAATTTGGTGATATTCTAAAAAGCTATTCTTATCTATTCCAAATTGGGAGACTATTTGATTAAATGGGATGAAGTCCAATCCTTCGTATATGTGTTCCAGGTATAGGATTCCTTTATTTTTCCAGTCCGGAAGGTTCATCATTTTGTTGTTTGGCAAAATGTCAGGATTGTTCCATATAGGTGTGCGTCTGCATGGTACTAGTGAAGACTCTGTCATTTTAAGATACTCCCACCATGCTGTCAGAGAGGTGCTGATACTAATACTTTTGAAGCTTTCATGTTTTCTTATGCTTGAGCTAATAAATGGTAAGTCTGAAAGCTCTATCGTATTGCAAAGTGTCTGTTCTATATCTAACCAGGACTCGTCTAATGGGTTATCTTGCAACCATCTTGGTATATATTGCAGCCTGTTGGCTAAGAAATAATAATAAAAGTTGGGTAAATCCAGTCCTCCTCTGTCTTTGGTCTTCTGAAGCGTTTTTAAGCTATTTCGTGGAGGTTTATCCTGCCAAAGGAATTTAGTAATTGAGGAGTCCAGAGATTTAAACCAGTCAGCTGGTGGTTTGTTTGGGATCATCAAGAATAAGTAATTTATTCTGGGTAAGACCATCATTTTAATTGTAGCCACTCTCCCCATGAGTGATATTGGTAAGGATTTCCATCTTGCAAGATCATCTTCCACTTTCCTTAAAAGTGGGATGTAGTTTAGTTTGGTTAGATCTGCTAACTTGGGAGAGATATTAATTCCCAGGTATGTGATATTCCCTGACTCCAATTGTGTATTAAGCAAATTGATAAATGAGAAATTAATTGGTAGAACTGTGGATTTTAACCAGTTTATAGAGTAATCTGAAACTCTTGAAAAAGAGTTTATCAGTTCTATTGCTTGGGAGAGAGAGGATTGAGAATTCTGGAGAAAGAGTAAAACATCATCTGCATAAAGACTGATCTTGTGTTCTATTTTCTTACACTTTATCCCTTTAATATCTGTTGTTTGCCTAATTGCTGCTGCTAGTGGTTCGATAAAGATAGCAAACAGTGAGGGGGAGAGCTGGCATCCCTGCCTGGTTCCCCTCTGAAGACAGAAGCTAGCTGATATTTGGTCGTTCGTCCTGACACGTGCTGTTGGTGAACTGTATAATGTTTCTAGCCAGTTTATGAAGAAGTTCCCAAAGCCAAATTTATGTAAAGTTGCAAATAAGAACTTCCAGTTAACTCTATCAAAAGCCTCACTTTTTTAAAGGCTAAATATGTTTTCGTTAAGTGTTCTAATCTAAGCTTCTTGCGATTAATAGAATATTCCATTTGACAACGTTTCAAGTGAAACAAAACTGGTTTGCTGCTAAAAAATATGAAATAAAACAACAAAAGGATCAGGCTGAAATAACAGACTTATTATGAAAGGCTCAATAATATGCATCAGATTGGTGTTTAGTTCCTTTTTCCCATCTGATATTTATAGTTAAAATATTTTTATATA